AAATCCTTGATCTGTATAGAAAATATCATCATTGCAGATTCCACCATGAAATACCTGTTGGACATTTGAGGAAAATATAGAGGTGGAAAAGGCCATACCAACAGGTTCTGGCCCAGAAACTAGGAGACGGTGAGTTCTAGTTGTACCTTGGTCATGAAATCAGCTGGGTGATTTTGTCCCAATCATTGTCCCTCAGTTCTCACATTGGTTGTTGTTGTCAGGGAGAATAGGAGGAGAAAGGGTGTATTACCCGTGTCCACTGCCTCGAGCGAGTTATAAAGCAATAAACTAGTTTATTACTTTATGTAAAAAAATAAAAATCTAATGCAAATAAACAAACAAATAAAACGGGAAACTTTTTTGGGGGGCAATCCATAAACAAATGTCACCTGGAAAAGTGCTGGAATGCGCAGGGATTGAGCAATGACATAATTGCAATCAGAGCGTCTCATCCCACATTCCGTGTTTCGAACGTCACTTTACAACTTGGGGAAGAAATTTTGGGCATCTGGCTTTTCAAAACGACAATTGGATTAAAAGTTGGTGGGGCGCTGGCAGCTGCCTGCCAAGCGTTGCTTGCTGTGTATGCGCATGCGCATTTGTGTGTGTGTGTGTGTGTGTGTGTCTATGTGTGTACACAATGTGGGTGCAAGCTGAAGCCAAAGTTTTCTTGCTTGGAAAAATCTGGAACAAAATCTCAGATGAGGCTTCTCACCCTTGGCCAACCTGGATTTCTGTGACACATAGCTGGAGATTTTATCCGTTCCTTTCCGTGTTTGGGAGACCCAAGTTATCAAAAATCAAGCTTATGCAGCTAGTCCTCAACTTATGACCGCTTCCTTCAAGAAAACAACCGGGCTCAGCACCAAGGAGCCCACAGTCATCCTCCTCCTCCTCTCCACAAACTCTACTCCCTTCTAGCACTGATGATGTTCCCTAGTTGGGTAATGAAACGGCTGCAAGAAAACCACCCAGCACAGAGAGCACCAACCAGGACCCTAATCCTCCTCCTCCTCTTTTCCTCAATCTGCACTCCCTTCTAGCACTGATGATGTTCCCTAGTTGGGTCATGAGATGTCTGCAAGAAAAGAACCAAATTCAGAGAGCACCAAGGACCCCACCGTCGTCCTCTTCCTCCTCCTCCTCCTCCTCCTCCAATTCCTCCTCCTCCTCCTTCTCTTTCCCCCTCCTTTCCTCCCTCCCTCTGTCCCTCCCTCCCTCTCCTCCTCATGTTTCTCATCTTCCTCCCTCCCTCTCTCCTCCTCCGCCTCCTTCTCTTCCTCCTCCTCCCTGTATCCCTCTCCTCCTCCTCCTCCTCTACTCTTTCTCCTCTTCCTTCTCTTTCTCCTTCTCCCTCCCCATAACTCTCCCTCCCTTCTAGCACTGATGATGTTACCAACATGGGTAAAGAAATGTCTGCAAGAAAACCACCAAGCTTAGAGAGCACCCAGGACCCCGCAGTCCTCCTCCTCCTCCTCCTCCTTCTGGCTGGAAACATTTAGAAACAGAAATGTGGGGTCCCTGGTGGTCTCTGGGATTGGTGGCTCTCCTGCAGACGTTTCATGACCCAACTAGGGAGCATCATCAGGGCTAGAAGGAAGAGGGGAGGTTCTAGGTTCTAGCATTGATGGTGATGATGTTGGGTGAGAAAATGTCTGTAGGAAAACCACCAAGTTTTCCAATAGCACCGTGGACCTCAGAGTCCCCCCCCCCCCACTCCCTGCAACCACCTCCCCTTCTATCCCTGATGCTGGACCACACAATAATTGTCTCCCTCCTTTTCCTGTCCCAATTTTTACCATCTAACCATGTTAGAAGGAGAGAGAATGTTACGGGCACTCCTTTGTTTTACAACAGCTCGTTCAGTGACCATTCAAAATTGCAATGCCCCCCCTCTCCCCCCCCAAAAGGGGATGTATGACCATTTTCCACATGTCTGTTGCATCATCTCCATGGTCAAATTTTGGACCACCGGCTCGCATTTATGACCGTTGTCGTAGCCTCAGGGCCCTGTGATTTCCCTCTTGCGACGTTCCAACAAGCAAGAACCAACGGAGAAAACCAGATTCATTCAGCAATCGCGCTGCAAACTTAATTGCATCGTTTCACTTAACAACACGTGGGAAAAAGGTCATAAAATAGGGCAAAAACTCGCTTAACAACCTTCTTGCTTAGCCATGGATGTTTTGGGCTCAATTGTGGTCATAAGTCGACCTGTCCTTGCGACCCATGGAAACACAGAAGCAATAAAAACCAGAGGGATGCTGGCATTAGTTAGAGAGTTCAGCTTTTATTTGGTTTTAAACGGGCAAGTTCCCAGTCCTTATGGCTGCGACCATATAGGGTACAGATTTTGGAAAGGCAGGGGTTTGAGTAAGAATTTTAGCGATTTAAGGGATTCATTGCTCGGGGTGGATCGGAGAGTGTAGGAAGCACCCACCGCTCCACACCCTCTTCACAAAATTCACCGAAGCAGCATAAATTACACGAAACACGGTGGAATAAATTATTAGACAATATAACATCCATTGTGCAAATTCGAAGGGCAGGATCCAGCTTGTTATGTTTATTATTTTTTAATCCCCCCCTTCAATCTTCTTAATTTCCAGAACAATTTAAAAAAAAAAATTCTGCCAATGTCCACTTATTATTGCAAAGGGTGGATTTGATCAGAGTTCCTTCTCTAGGGCGAGAAGGGAGTCGAAATGATTTATGCAACTGGTGCCATGAAGACCTTGGGTTCATTTTTCTGGGTACCCCACCCTTTGCAGGTGCCGGAAGATGGGAAGGGGGTTGGACTGGATGACCTGCAAGGTCCCTTCCAACTTTGTTAATCTGTAACAATGGGTTCCGATCCAAGCCAGCCAGTCCTTGATCGAAGCAGCAACGATAGGTCAATCTGGCTTCCTGCAAGGAATTCTGGGTGTTGTAGTTTTTAACAAGGGGGCATTTATTTAGAAAAAAAGGGAATTTTGCAGCCAGACAGGTGCTCATGCAATTAACTCAGTATTTGCAGAGGATAAATTTTCTAAATCGTTTGTGCAATGGCCTTAATGATAATAATTAAAAACTGGGGAACAGGAAACAAAATGACATTATCAGTCCTAGCTCAATTGGGATGAAATGCTTTGTAGACCTTGACTTAACAACCGTTCAGGCTGAAGTTACACCAGCGCTCAAAAAAGTGACTTACAAACGTTCCTCACACTTACAACGGCGGCAGCTTTCCTGCGGCCACCCGATCAGAATTCAGCTACGCTCAGAGCAACCGGCGTATAAAGGGGGTCCTCGACTTAAAACCAGAACGGAGCCCAACATTTCTATTGTTAAGCGAGGCGTTTGTTCAGGGAGGGGTTTTTTTTTTAGCCTGATTTTTATGACTTCCTTGCCACTGTTGTTAAGTGAATCACTGCACTAGTTAAGCAAGGAACCTGGTTGTTAAGTGAATCTCTGGCTTTCCTGTAGACTTCCCTGATCAGAAGGTCGCAAAAGGGGATCACATGACTCCACACACACCCCCGGGCACATCGTCATAAATACGAGTCAGTTGCCAAACACCTGAATTTTGATCATGTAACCACAGGGGATGCTGCAGTGGCTCTGTGTGGTCACTAAACGAACCGTTGTAAGTCGAGGACTACCTGTGTTTACAGCGGTTACAGCGCCACGAGAGTCACGTGATTTCCCCTTGCAATTTTCCCAACGGGCTTCGGACAGTCGATCGGGGAAGCCAGATTTGCTTAACGTCAGTGTCATCCATTTAACGACTGTGTGGTTCACTTAACAACCGTGAGTGGTTCGCTTAACAACCACAGCAAAGAGTTGTAAAATTGGATGCACCTCTCTTAACGGCTGCTTTTGCTGAGCAATGGAAATTCTGGCCCCCACAACTGTGGTCGTAAGGCAAGGATTCCCTGTCTTATAGTTCCTTCTTCCTAAATTGTGGGATTTGGGTAAAGGGGTTGGGGGAAATAAACCCTGATTCTCAGTCTGTTAATTGAACGGCAGTTCCTGGTGGGATTAAGATCCGTTGGCAAGAGAGAGAGGTTTCCACTAGGATTAGCTTGACATTTGTCATCTTAATACAACATTGCCTCCGTGTGCAGCCTTAAAAGCAAAACTGTCCACTTATTTTTGGCTCCGTCGTAGCCGGGATCTTTGGAAAACAGAGCAACCTCCTGTTTCTGGGCTCCGTGTGATCCAGCCCCACTGTCACAGAGGCCGGGGAAGACATCTCTTCGGCGTTGCTCGCTCATGTGCAAATCCACATATATGCCACCACGTTTAGCGTCCAAGCCTCTGTCCCTCTGGGGGGGACCCAAGGTCTCACACACATACACACACCCGGAAAGGATCTGGTGTTTTGGCCGCAAACGGCACTGAATGGGAGAGGTAGAAAAACACCATGTTTGGGAGGTGAGGAAAACAGCCCTCGTTGGACAGGGGTCAATCCCCGTTTCTCTATCCAAATCCCTCTTGTCCCTTCTTTCCATGGGGTCACAACTCTTCAAAAATCTGCTTGTCTGATCCTCAGCGGGTTGCTCTCGGTCCTGAGTAGTGTTCCGGAGCTCGTCATCCTGATGCTGGCATGAAGGACCCTAACTCAGAGCTCCGTTGCCTGCATTCTGGCCCTCCTCTCCTCCCCACCTCATTCTATATCCAGCCTTTGTTTCCCCTCTTATTGTTAATCAATGGTCTGTCTCCGGAGACAGAGACAATATTATCTCCTTGTTTTCGCTTTTTGACTGACTCACTGCTTAATTCGGTATTGATCTAATCGCAATTTCTCCTTCCACAAAGAGTGCTGGACAATCTCCTGGTGCCTTCGTTTGAGAGGGTGGGAGAGAGGATGAGTGACCAGGAATAAGACCCCCTCCCCCGGGACAATATGATTTTCTCGTGCGGCGAGACATAAAGCAGAAAGGTAACAGGACGAGTAGGAAAATAATTTCAATTTTCTTTCGATTGAAAGACCTTTTCTTGGGTTCGTTTTCCCTTGGTCACTTAAAACATGAATTTAAGTACATCTTTGGAAGGAGGGGGTGGTAAAAGTTCTGTCTGGGTACAAAAAAACATGCATTCAGTTTGGTTGGGGTATTTCCTCACCCCCTCCCACTAAACCAAATTTTAAAAAGCAAATCAACCCCGTGAGAAAGCTTTGTTCTGAACCGATCCTGTCTGGATCAATCAACGGGCACGATCCCTTTGGTTCCCCTAAGGGAGAAAAGCTCTGAATGCCCTAGGACCTCTGGCCCCCTTTCCCCTGTGCTCCCCAAAGATAACGGGGTTCACTCTTGCCTTCTAGGGAAGGAGAACGCGGAGTCTCTGCTGGGTCGCCAAAAAGTGTTGCCGTCTTTCACTCCGGCCAGATGCCGTTTCTCGTAGCAAAGAATTCAGGTGGAGAGTCAACCTCCCCCTCCCCAAATTGATTCCCTGTGATGGGGAATCAATTGACTGGAAGTTGCTTGCCACCCTCAGTGCCTTCAGGGACCCCTAAGCGGGGCTTTCTAACCATCATCTCCTTTTGTTACATCACAGTTTCTTCTTCTTTTTCCAACAAGGCAGCTGGCCTGAAGCCGTTGTAGAGTCCGGAGCTGTTGAGGTATTCCTCCTCTTTGCTGTAGTGCTCGGGCCCCGAAGACGCCAACGAGTTCTCCGAAATGGACCCATTCCGGATGTAGCCTGGCAAATTCCGGTGTCCATTGAGGGCGCCCGAGGCCGGTTTCCCGTTGAGAGGGAGTGGTGTGCCCCCTTTGGCGGTGACATTTGTGACACTGGTGTGGGATACCATAGGTCCATAGCTGTAGGTGGTGCTCCCACTCCGGGCCTTTCTACGGAAGTCCAGTGCTAAAGTCCATCGGCTCCATGACTTCTTGATCTCGGATTGGACCTACGGAGGGGGACAAAAGGGTGGGGGTGGGACAGGACAAAAGGGCGGTTATTATGGGATGGGACGGGTGGAAAGTTCCCTTCCCTTCCTTTCCTTCCCTTTCCTTCCCTCATGTCTTTCCTTCCCTTTATTTCCTTCCCTTTCCTTCCCTCCTGTGTTTCCTTCCCCTTTCCTTCCCTTCCCTCCTGTCTTCCCTTCCCCTCCTTCCCTCCTGTCTTCCCTTCCCCTCCTTCCCTTCATTTCCTTCCCTTCCCTCCTCTTCCCTTCCCCTTTTCTTCCCTTCCTTCCCTTCCCTTCCCTCCTGTCTTTCCTTCCCCTTTTCTTCACTTCCTTCCCTTCCCTTCCCTCCTGTCTTTCCTTCCCCTTTCCTTCCCTTCCTTCCCTTCCCTTCCCTCCTGTCTTTCCTTTCCTTTCTTCCCTTCCCTTCCTTTCCCTTCCCTTCCCTC